ACAAAGCTAGGTTTTAAAAGAAAAATTAACATCAAGGAGCTTGACAAAGCATATCTGAATAGAGAGTCCTAAAACAGCAGAGGTCACCTATGGGTTAGGTAATAACTTACCCAGAACACCACTTAATTCAGAGCCACAAAACAGATTCTCTGATATGGATGCAAAAGCTTCCCCTTCAAATAACTATCTCCCACTTACTCAACAAGAGTCCAGGACACAAACTCAAGTCTAACAGTATCACATTTATGCTCACAGCATCATTATACAAATCTACGCATTAATCTAAAATCTGAGAACTACATGCTTAGTTTCCCATAAGAAACAAACAGAAGGGCTATTAGCAAATGAAAATTCTCACCCGTTGCCTAAAATGAAGACCATCTTAACTGTCAATTAAAGAAGCATTTCTCAGCTTTCCCAAGTAGCTAAGAACTCTCTGGTTCTCTGAATCACATGCCTTTCCAAGCAGATGATCTCACTCAATTCTCCAAAACCTGAGTATTTCATGTACTCTTCTTTTGTACACACATCCAAAACCTACCTCTCTCTGATCCAGTGTTGCTCAGGAATATCAGAAAATTGAAAGAAAAAGAGGAAGCCAAGAAGACAGCACCTCTAACACCAATAAAGGCCTTGGCACCTCAAATCCATTTTGACTTACTACTTCAAAACCTAAAATACTGTTTGTCTAGAACAAAGTAAGGGCTCAGATATTAGTTTTAACAATTATGATGGTTGTTACCATCTTTCATTTGTGTTGCATTTTCAATGGCAATTCTCCCACTTCAATTTATTTTCTCTACTTTCTGTAAGGGTATCTTATTGGAAAAGATCTGCAGGGTTAAGTATCAACAGAATTGCTTATTTCCCCAAATTCTAAGAACTCAAACCTTTCACAGACCTGTCACTTAGCAAAAGATTACACCTTTAATGGCATAATTCTAGTCATAAAAATAAAAATCTCATCTCAACTTAAATTTATCCCCACAAAGTACCTGCTCTGGTAACTGTGACCCAATAAATCATGTCAAGACTAGTCTACCTCAGAAATTTCTCCACATTCCAACATTTACAATGGTAAATGTCTTGCCCCCTCCAGTTTCTCTTTTCTAGTCATGGGGTTGTTAATAAGGTATCACTGCTAATAGGACACAACTACGTAATGTGTTTTTTCCAATCAAAGCTGACTGCTTCCCTAAATATGCTAGGTATATTCATAACCCTGTATCCTCACCCTGTCTGTCTAAAAACCTCCTGCTTAATATCAAAGGCAGGTACAAATATTGCCCTCTGTGAAACAACCTGGAGCTCTTTAAATTTTAACAGGGGAGCTTACACCTCCTACAAGGGCACACAATTCATCTTTCTATAGGACAATCCTGTATAAAGCAGAACACATAGCAGCCAATTAATTTCACAGCACTTTCTTCACTGTATAACCTAGTGCTTATCCTAAATGTGCCACATCTGATCTGCTTGTAGACTTACTTCCCTCCTCCTTTCATGGTATACTAGCAGTACTTAATGTACTTGTATGTGCCACAGTGACAGCACTCTGAAAAACCTCTAGTGGAACAACTTCACAGTTCAGTCCCTTATGCACTGTTGACATTAGTATCCATGTGACATATGCAACTTCTGACAAGTTATTTATTATAAAGTCCTCAGAGACCACTGAATTAAAATCAGGGTCCTTCTGAACCTGCTTAACAGGTGTTTGCCAAGTCTCAGCTATCATACTATAGCCTATTATCAAATCTAAGCGAGCATGTGATTTTTCTTATGCTCCAAGTTCTTCACAGAAGAATGACTGCGAAAGAACCACTCCACTGTCATAACTACCTACAATGCAGGAGAGGGATGGGAAGATCCCCTGGAGGAAGAAATGGCAACCCGCTCCAGTATTCTTCGAGTGGGAAATCCCATGGAGAGAGGTGACTGACAGGCTAGTCTATGGGGTAAAAAGTTGGACAGGACTGAGCATGCCCACCAGCCCCTACCATGAAAAGTCACTCTAAATAAGAAAGCTACTTTGGGGCTTGTCTTCCTACCAGAAAAAAATGTGTTAACCAATTTTTGAGTAATTATAAACTATGTATGACAGTTTACAGCACATCTGAAAGAGATGACAGTGTTACCTGAGTAACATTAACAAGTATCTAAAATGGTAGTTTCACACACGTTGGTAATTTATGTTAAATTCACCTAAGAACTTCCAACACATATTGTATCAGAAATGGCCTTACGAACAAATAAAATGACAGGCCTAATTTACATAATTTATAAATTAATTTGCATTAAGACCATAAAATCCACTCCTCTGTTGCCTCCTCAGAGATAGCAGATGTTAATATATAAGTGGCTCAAATTTTAATGTTTGATTATCCTCCAGTATGAAAAGTATTTACAATCTTTGGAACTTGTGCATCAAAACATATGAAAACCCAAGCGAAAATAAAAATCACTCTAACAAAACATCATTAATCACCTACTCCCTGATATCTAAAATGTATCTCCTTAAGAAACACCTAATGCTTATATTCCTAAAGTTTCTGACAAAAGTCAGGCTAATGATGATTAAATTGCATAATATCTTTAATGAAATACTCTGGTCTCCTCTCTGACCTCTCCCATGTCAAAAAAAGAAAAGAAGAAAACAACCTGAATCTGAACTACCCTCCAAATCTACCCCACTAGTTCAGAGGAAATACAAATGACAGGTTAACATGCTAAACAACATAAAATACAACCTGCAAAATCAAGTCTGGAAAACTTGGATGATTAAGGAATCTTCCTATCTTAAGTGGCATCATAATTATGTTTATAAAATGTCAATATGCTTATAAAAGCAGTCTTTATCTTACACTGATATACTACTTTCTTATATAAATTAAAATGTTCTATATTAGTAAACAAAAAACTTGAAATAACTACTAAAAACATGTCAAGATAAACATCAGTCTTCATTTCACTATGCATTAGTTTAGAAGACTTCTGTCACATAGGGAACTGCATGCTAGAGATTAAGTTAGTTTTGTGGAGAGGAATGGTGGGGTGTCCATGATTCCCTTCATTTTGATATGAAGGGAGCCAACAATATATGCAGAAGCAATAATGTATGTCAGTGTTAACAGTGTGGCATGTGGGATCTTCCCAGACCAGGCACTGAACCCGTGTTTCCTGCATTGGCAGGTACCACCAAACTACCAGGGAAACCCAAGATGAATTCTTGATTAACTGAAAGCATAATAGTATTTGAGGGTTACATATAATGCAACCTTTGTCCAACCTTTGTTTCCTTAGTCTTCATAACAACTCTATTAGTAGGCATGATCGTTTTAGGGATAAGAAAACTGAAGTGATATATGACTCTGGTCATAATCCTTTCTGCTAAGTGACTAAGCCTTTGGATTTCTCTATCAGCTGCCACCCTAATGTAACAATAGGCAGTAGAAATGCCAAATGTATGTCTTAAAATATTCATGTGAACTTCATATTCTTAAGGGTGTGACTAAGCAGACTGATTTAACCCCCATTTACATAGCAGGACACAGACCTTTCAGCACATCTCAGAGTCAATTTCCCATCTTTTTTAGTAAAGAATCTAAAAGTTAATTTATGATGTTATTAGGGATAATAATTATCTTAACCTCGTGAATAAGTATCTTCAGGATGACTTCTGAGAAAACTGATACTACCATTTTCCTAAGAAGTTTTTCCATTCTTAACTAAACATCTGCTTTCCCTACTAGACCTCAGTACATAATTGAATGAGCTCTTTATTAAGCCACTGTTTGGTTACTCAGTCATCGGAAATCTTTTTTACTGGCCAAGTTTAGAATGGAAGGTCAAAAACATTACTTTTCACTGTCACTCTATAATATCAAGCAATACAGAGAACTAAAGTTATTCTCTTGCTCTTGAAAAACTAGAGTGAGGCCAACAGTGGTGTTGTCACCAATTTTTAAGACCAAATAGCAGTGGTAAGATATATGAAGATATTTCTGTAAACATCTCAGTGCTTTCATTATTCCTTGCTGTCTTTATCTGTTTTACTCAATTTCAAAATTCATCACTTAAAACAACTTTTCCCAAACTTACTTAGAATAAGATGATGCAACTATATCAACTTTCTCATGATTTTTCAAATACAAATGCTATTCTGGAAGCATAAGAAACCATTATTCTAACCCCTCTGCCTTTTAGAACTGTACCATCATCTCCAATCTACAAATCTTAACACTGCAACATTGATGCCTAAATCAATTTGCATTGTAAATTCATTACATATGCTTATTGTATCCTATTTTGCACTGGTTGGTTTGCTCAAAGGAGACTACTGAAATTTTAAGGAATCATTTTTTATAATTTTGCTGTAATCTCCCACAATGCAAATCTAAGCAGCTAATATGCAAAAAAAATAATAGAGAACATGAGACTGCTAATTAAATTCCATTTATCATTAGGCGAGTCAGTCCTTACATTTATGTGGCACAAATTAAAAAACTGACTTGTCAAGAAAGTGTTAGTCCAGAAAATATTGGACATGTCTCCATATGCCCTGACAATATATATAAACTGATTCTATAAAATCAACAACAAAAAAATCACCCTTATCTAGTCTCTAAGCAGAAAGGAATTTTTTCAGTGGGCTTCTTGGTGGCTCAGATGGTAAAGAATCAGCCTGCAATGCCTGGATCAGGAAGCTCCCCTGGAGAAGGGAATGGCAACCCATTCCATTCGTCAGTATTCTTAACTTGAGAATTCCATGGACAGAGGAGCCTGGATGGCTACAGTCCATGGGATTGCAAAGAGTCAAACACAACTGAGCAACACACACACTTTTTTTCATTATGTTCTGACAGAAAGAGGGGGCTTTATTTGAAAATATGTTTGTTATTCATTACTACAAAATAGAACATTTATTTACCACAAAATAGAAAAATAAATGGCTCTCACTAGCCAGCCTCTAATTGAAAGAGCAAACATCTTAAACATACCTGTCGTAATAATCCCGTTGAAAGTCATAGTCCAAGTCAAAAGAAGAGCTGAAAAACAAATACCAAAGAGGATTACTTTGGAGCTGTCGACAACAGCAGATGGGAAAAAAAAAAAACCCACCCTAAACCAACCCAACAAATAGATCAACAGATTATTATGGACTAATGCCCAATCATTAAGCAACAGATCACTAAATTCCAACCACTTTAGGCCACTGTACATACAGTGGCCAAACTGCAAATTTAGCCGTAAGATTGCTAAAACGCCAACACATAAGAGCTAAAATAAGAATATGGAAAAACACAATAGTAGATTAAACATCCTTATGTCATCCTCTTTCCCTTTCTTACTCCCTCCCCAGCTTCTTAGAAGCTAAGTAAGTCCTTTTGAAGGAATTTAATTTATACTAGTAGGGCTTCCCTGGTGGCTCAGATGGTAAGCAATCTGCCGGCAATGCAGGAGACCCGGGTTTGATCCCTGGGTAAGGAAGATTCCCTGGAGAAGGCAATGGCAACACACTCCAGTATTCTTGTCTGAGAAATCCCACGGACAAAGGAGCCTGACAGGCTACAGTCCATGGGGTCACAAGAGAGTCAGACACGACTGAGCGACTAACACTTTAAATAACAAACTACTCTTTAATAGTAAAAAATCTCAGGTATTCCCACAACTCTCTGGGAAATGGGGTAAAATGAAGTATATTAACACAAAATTAATAAAGCAGTCCTTTCACATACATAAAACATAGTACAGTTAACCCTCCCCACATCCAGAAAACAGATAGAGAAGATGCCCACTGATGGACACAATGCAGTTATAAATAATAAAGTTCCGGACCTGAGTAGAGGGGACGGAGAAGGGTGTTCTGGTACTGACCCGTACATCTCCGCTGCAGATCGTTTCACACCAGCTTTTCCTCGGTTCACTTTTGGCTCTGCAGCCAGATTAATATCTAGGGGGGAAAAAAACTTCAATGACAACTCTGTTGGGATGGAGGTGTCTCAAACTGCACCTTTCTAACGTGTACACGGCCATATAATAAACAAAAGTCAAATGATGTATCTCATCTTTCCCTGTTATATAAAATAGGCTCAAGATTTTTTTTTTTTAACAAGATTAGGACTTAATCCTCCATTTCTTTGTCCTCTGTTCTGTACCAACAAAACAGAAATGCAAAACATACGAAGTTTGTCTTTAGTATCTTTTACCCTCGACTTAACACCTCAGTGAGAAACTGGGGACTTTTATTCTCCTTACAAATAAGATAAACTGAAAAGTTGCATAAAAAAATAAACACTGTGCACTGAACTGCTTATAAGTAAACAATCTTCATATGCATGCACATACTCCAAGAAAAGAGAAAGAATTAAAGGAAAACAATTCTAGTTTCCATATACAACATAATTTCTAAAACACCTATGTCAGAGTGCCTAGTTGCTCACCATGCCACCCACTACCTATCAAAGAATTCATGTTCTCCCAAATATTCTAACAGATGAGACAATTTCTCAAAAAACAATTAAATAAAAGCTAGCCAGCTCTCCAAAACTCAGTTCATCAAGTGACCAGTGGAAAAAGACTTTTAAGTACACTGCCTTATCTGCTAAACACCATTACATTTATGAATAATCTTCAGAGTTCTTAGTTCACTAAACTCATTTCTAATTTTTATAATTAATGTTTATAACAACCCTGCTTTTACAGTTTTGACTTTGGGAATCGTAAGATTTTACAAAACTAAAGGTAGACTTTTTAAAAGAAGCTTAAAAAAATGTAGTAACAGGATTAACTACACTATGTATCCAACTGATTTTATCACCTCATATAAGAATTATTTCATGATATTCTAAACTATAGAATAGTTGACACTTGAACAACGTGGGGGTTGGGGCCCTGACCCTCTGCAGAGTGGAAAATCTGCATATAAATTAACAGTTGGCCCTCCATTACCTGTGGTTTTGCACTGGGATTCTACCAATGCTCTTGCAGTACTGTAATACATATTAAAAAAAAAATCCAAGTAGAAGTGAATCCATGCAGTTCCAACATTATTCCATCAAGGGAAAACTGTATTAAGTCAATATCCAAAATAGAGTAATTTTGGTAAAAACAGAGATATGGTTGTTTGAGGCTGTGGCACAATGTGCACATAAAAATCTGACGTTTTGTTTTCTTAAAAAAGTAAGTGTCTCCTATTCTGCCCACTGAAACTAACAAGATGCAATTAAAATTCAGTAAACACTCCTGGTATACAGGGAGTGGGTTTCTAAATAGCTCCCATTAAAAGGAGCCAACACTCTTATAAGATACCCAGATGACCCAGAATATCCTGTGGTGCAGCAAGCAAGGAAGAAATGTAGTATCATAAGAGTAAGGTCTCAAGGACACAGGAACCAACTTAAAGGTGACTGATCCACTGGCCAAAGATATCTCGAGTATCAAACAACAGTTTGCAAACATATGACTGAAACGTATGACTGAAACGTATGTAATGACATCTAAAGTTTAGAATATAAATTTTCTGAATAGAGCTCAGATCTCATTTCTCAAAAATCTAAACATCAGAGGCGAACCCTACTGGGGAACTAATATAAGACAACCTTTTATTATGAATCACCTCAATTAATCCTCCCAAATTATCTAAATTCTCTTGACAACCACACAGTATTACCTTCAGTAAGAATAGTTAATAAACCGAGGTAGCGCATGTGCGCGCGCACAGTTATTTTAACAAAGAAAAGCTATGTAGGCTGCCCAACACATAGCTGTGAGGCCCTAACATACATCTGACTCTAGAGCACATGACAAAGCTCTGTTGTCTTCACCCAGTCGACTGTGTTCAAAATGACACAGCCATTTTAGGCAGCAAAAGTACCTTATGAAATATTGTCCCTCTCTCTCCTACTTTACTCAAGACTGCCAGCTAAGGGTTATCCAGTCTCTACTACACCAAATGGCCTAAGTAAAACTCTCTTTAGACCTATAAACCTAATATTTTAATTTTTTATTAGGCTAGTGTCAGACATAACATCCAGAACACCTCTCTGACTAACAGCTTTATGGAGAGGGAGGGAAAGAAAAAGAAAACATGCAGAGAAGAATTCCCAGATCTGAATTACATAACCAATGAGAAATTAATTCAACCCAGATCTTACCTAAAACCTGGCCAGCAATCATTCTGCCATCCTCTCCTGCCACCGCAGCCCGGGCATTTCTCTCATTAACATACTGAACGAAGGCAAAGCCCTTATGAACAGAGCAACCCACGATTTTGCCGTATTTTGAGAAGATTGCTTCCACGTCAGATTTCTTGACCACAAGGGTATTGAGATTCCCAATGAATACACGAGAGTTCATGGAGCGAGGATCCGTCTTGTTGGTAACATTGCTGGCCATTGTCTTTGATGATACGGTGCCTCACAAAGCTGAAAAACTGAGAGGGGAAAAAATGCATTCAGGTGAAAGGATGCTAAAAACAAAATAATCCTTGATAAAAACCTGTTCTACTCTCATCTTGAACCATTCTACCTACAATTATCAGTCAACTTAAACAAAATGGATCTCACAGCAGCAAGTTTATTAGTATTCAGACTTGAGCCCATGAATATATATCCTTATATTCAACCTCCTTTTCTGTAATATACTCCTGCTAGACCATCACTTCAAGGGGGGGGGAAATCCTCTTCACATAATACTGGCGACACAATCCTCTTGGAAATTATTAATCCCAAGTGACTTCACTGTTTGAAAAGTCCTAAAGCAAATCAAAACCCCACCAATCTCTCTACCATAAATTTCTGTTTTTCACTGTCCCAGTCATGCTTATTGAACCATCCTTGCCATCTATCAATAACTCCACCTTTTTTCATGTTGCTTTTACCGAGTCTCACTCATTGACACATAGATATAAAGAACTCCAGTTTCTGCCCACAAACTATTCTTTAGCTAGATGAATGTGGACAAGAGACACTCTGCCCTTCTAGTTTAATTAACTTTATTATATGAAGGCAACAAATAGAACCAACTCATTCACTCTGGAAATAATCTATTTCCAGATACTTTGATTGATTTACAGCATCCAGTAGATACCTTAAATATCAATACCATTTTTTAATAGAATGTTAATGATTCTTTATGTGAAAACAATACAAAATATAGCTAGGACATTTAATAATGTGGATGGTGATGATGATAAAACTAGAAGGTAGAACTCTGCCTTAATCAAAAAAGAACCAGAAGCATTAAGAAAACACAACTTTGCTCAGACCATTTCAAAACAAAAATTATCTTTATATATGTTACAGAGGTATAATCTGTAACTATGTGGAGATTCATGAAATCATTTTAGGTCTTTTAAAGCACAAGATGTTTTGATATTCTTTAGCTTTTCTATCAGCTTTTTGTCTACTGCTCCTTCTCATTCCAACCACCAAAGTTAAACTGGGCTTAAGATGGATCCACCCTAGATATAGAGTAACATTCTTAAGATTATTTCCCATTTAACCCCTTGAAAGGTACTGAATGGCAGTGTCTAGTATTTCTTCACTTTCCAATCCTCAAGAAGATAATGACAAACTAGTTCTTGTGGATTATGTAAAGGTCTTATATACATTTTAAAAAACCAGATGGTGTAACATTTACACACGACCACTACCATTTTGACCCTTCAAATAGCCTGTTCTTTTTATACGCAGAGTCTAAAGCTTTAAAGCTCTGATCCTTCTGAAATTCAGGAAACAGCCTGCCTTTGAGTTTCTAAATTGTATCTTTACAATTTTTTTTTTGACACTAAGCAGTAAAAATTAACCTAATAGTGGCTACTCAGAACCACTAACAGCTTTTCAACTTAAGCAGGAGCACCAAAAAGGCTTAGAACTCCAAGAGGAATCAAAACAGAAGCCTACTAACAAGGCCTAACTGGTTTCAAATAATAATAGTTCTCTGTGTGTCTGCTATTATTTTAAGTGGAGGCATAAGCCAGTTTTCAGCAAATGTTTTTTTCACGAACTATATATATATATGTGTGTGTGTGTGTATATATATATATATAAATGGTAAATGCAGGTAAAAGTTCCCTGAGTTTCTTCTTAGTATTTATTTATTTGTGGTAGGCAGGATCTTCTATCTCTGCCTCAGCATATAGGATCTCTAGTTGTGGTTTGTAAAATCTTAGTTGCAGTATGTGGGGTCCAGTGCCCAGACCAGGGAACAAACTCGGGCCCCTGCACTGGAAGGCAGATTCTCAACTGCAGGACCACCAGGTAAATCCCTCTCCTTGAGCTTAAGAAATTAACTGTGGGTAACGCAAAAACCTATGGACAACATACAGAATACAACTTTATGTCAATGCATCCCAAACAAAACTCCATAATGCACAGTGGTAAGGGCAAGTCAGAAGCTAGCATGCATGTTATGTATCACTGTGGGAGAAACAAAAGAAGCAACTAGGAGCCTAAAAGAGCCAGAAAGCTGAAGAACATCAAAATATCCAGGCAGTATTTACTGGAAAGGAAAAGAACAAATGTTAGGAAAAGCAGTTTCAACAGGAAGGGTCTTGCCTGAGGCAATAGTGGGAGAGTACAAGGTACTGCAGTAAACCTGTCCGTAGGTGCTAAAGCAGCTCAAGTCTCTACAGAATCTCAACACTCAGAAGCCCCATGTGCATTCCGTTCTCAATCTCTTTCCTCTTCCTAAAACTAACTTCACAGTAAAATCACTTTCTTCCTTTTAAAATAATTCTACTACCTAAAGTGTACCCCTGGGTAGTATAGTCTTACCCACTGATACAAATTTGATGTCTTTTAGTGCTCTTTTTAGATAAGTTCCCCTTTAACTTAACATTTATCTGACGTTAATCTTGAGCATTTTTTGTCCTGCAGTTTTTCAAAATTTCATAACCTCAGCATAATTCCACATATTCTTCTGTCCTTTCTAATTTCAGAAATTGGAAGCTGTGACCAATGGCTTGATCAGACTCACGTGTAACACTTCTGCAAGGTTATATTCAAGCAGTACTATTTTTGTAATGTTATTAATGCTAAAATTCTACCAGATCTCTCTAGGTATTATAGTAACTCAAGCTTATCCTTAGTATTATTACTTACAAAGAGCTTGAAAATAGTTTTATCAGTTCCTGCAACTTAGTTTGCCTGTGTCCTTTGTATCTGTCAGTTTCGCTGGGTATAAAATCACTTAATCACATTTTCTTTCCTTAAATATACTCCATTTACTTCTGGACTGCCACAGAATCATTCCAAACTATAAACCTTGCTGGCAAAGTTCTGTTTTCTCAACCCAAGTAGACACTACAGGGTTTTTGCTTTATAATAATTCATTAAGATGGGTTTTTTTGGTTTTAAAGACAAATAGAAATGAAATAGATCTAAATGAGTGTATTTGAGGGTGCCTCACAGGCCACAGAAGTTTACACTTTGGAGTCACCCTTATAGGACAAGTCCATTTCTCCTAGCTTTTTAAAAATAGTAAGTAAATAAAAGAACACAGAATAAAAAACACACATAATCAATTTCTTTCCTAAAATTAGTTTCAAAGATTAAAACCACAGAGGGAAATATTTCTGAAATGACTGACTCCCTGGTTACTCTGTGAACTGTTTAACTCAGTAGCAGATATCAAATGGTTTCCAGAAAAGCAGAATTCCATCACAGTACAAACGGAAAAAGATTATTTCCCTAGAGGTTACAGGGTGGTAGAACTCAAACCTCTATTTAATGGAAGCATACTCATGTGTGTGCTTGCTATCTTTTCATCCCAGGTTATTTTCACAATTTTTTATCATAAAAAAATTACTAAGATTGGTGAGTAAAAGTCAAAACCAACAATGTTGAGTTACTTATTACACCAAAGGATGTATGTGTCCATTTGATTTTGTTTTATGTTGAAGCAATAAAAGCAATGAGTGGCTGTATGAAGGACAAGAACTGCCCAAGATTCATCAATACAGAAATGTGTTTCTATTACCAATTCTACCACATCAGTCATATCCTAAACCAAAAATCATGAAATTTACACCACGTAGATTTGGAATGGAGTTAGAATACAAGTTAACCTGTCAATTTTGTTTTCAACTGTTCATCTTGAAATTTGAGTTATGGTGTACAACTCCCATATGCCTAATATGCCATTTCCTTTCTCTGAAGCAGTTTAAAGACAAAGTGTCACTAGATGGCAGCAATGAGTTGACAAATTTTTAAAATGATAGCCATCTTCTTGAATCCAAAGACTTCCTATCTCACACTGTCTTTTACAATTTCTTATCAAGAGTTTCTCAGTACCTCTTAGATACTATAAATTTCTCTGCCTACTTACAGCAACATCACCTGATCTAAACTGCTTTCCTTTAACACACTTAAGCTCCTATTTTGCCCCTTTTAAGTTCCTTTCACACTACTTTCCTGTTATTCTTCCCCATCCCCATCATATTCTCTGCTTCCTATGTGTCTTCATTGCATTCATCAACTATTTCCCTTTGGCCTCCTTCGGCAGGCAACAACAAACTGTCCATGTCTGCAAAAAGTTGGCCATCATACAGTTGGCCCTCCCTATCTGCAGATTCTGCATCTGTAGATCTAAATAATCATGGATCAAAAAATACTATCAGAGGAAATTTACTATGTAAAGTTCCAAAACCCCAAACTTGAATTTGCTGCACACCATTTATATAACATTTACACTATATTTACTTTTTAAACTCAGCTATGTTTTACTTTCAGAACATTTTCAACAGTAGAATATATGAATTGGCACAGAGCAGGTACTGCTTTGTTCATGCAAGCAGCCAGTCAGCCACTGTCTTTAAATGAATTAACTGTAATGTACAATACCCCACTAAGCACTGTATTTGGTGCTTCTTACACATACTGATTTTCCTTTGTTTGAAATATAGTTGCTTTACACTGCTGTGTAGCAAAGTCAATCATCTATAACATGTACAAAGAGCCCCTTTTCTGGATTTCCTTCCCATTTAGGTCACCACAGAGCACCAAGTAGGGTTTCCTGTGCTACACAGTAAATTCTCATTAGTTATCTATTTTATACATAGTAGTGTATGTATGTTAATCCCAACCTACCAATTCACCTGCCCTTCCCCCACAGTATCCATGTTTGTTCTCTGTGTGTATCCATTTCCTCTTTGAAGACAAGATCATTTATACTATTTTTCTAGATTCCACATATATGCATTAACATACATTTACATTGTATTTTCTTTACAACTATTTATGCTACATTAAGGTATTATTAATAATTATAATATTTGGTATAAGTAATCTAGAAACAATTTAAAGTATATGAGAGGATATGTATAGATTATATGCAAATACTACACCATTTTATACAATGGACTTGAGCATCCCAGAGCCTGGTTATCTGCCAGGGTCCTACGATCAGTCTTCCTAGGATACCAAGGGACTG